GGCACATTCTTCAAATTTTAGTCAACCGCAGGATTTATAAACAATTTATCGGCTGCTTTTTGTTGATGTTACCCGTGTAAGCGCTTTAAAAGCGTTCCACGTTAACATGAGTCTCAAGGTCACGTGATCAACACCCTGCTCAAAGATCCCTTTTCCTGTTTTTCATCACAATTTTTTTGGGGCCCTATGATTCAAAGTATTGGAATGTCTGGATTCCAGATCCTATATTCCACAGGCAACCCAAGCTCATTACATGATGGTCAAAATTCGAATTTTATAAATATCATTTGGCGTAGTTTAAAGTCGTTAGGAAGTGACTCCACCTATTTTTCGAATGTTTCCCCTCCCCTTCCTCCTCCCCCTCCTCCCTAGACTACCTAGCCTCCTTTGCAGACGTCTAGTTTCGGTCATAGCGCCTCGTGTGGAGAGGGAACTTATGACCGATACTAATAACGTCTGCAAAGGAGGCTATAGACAACCTAGATAAACACACTGACATTTATAGAATTCGAATTTTGACCGTTAAAGATCATTTTTTACATTAATGGTTAAAAACAGTAATGGTATGAGCTTGGGTTGCCTGTGTTTATTTTTGATTCCGGATTCCAAGTCACAGCTTAGATCAGATCAGTCCGGATTCCACATTACCACGGCGAGAGTCTTTGTCAGCGTTTATTGAATTCGGTTCTTTATTCGGGAGCCGGGGGATGATAAGGACTAAAATCAAGAGAATCTCGGATTATCTTGTAATATAGCTTTACCTTTTGCATCGACGAGAGAGGTCGTCGACCGATGCGCTTGCGATGCGAGAGAGGTGCTACAAGTAAGCTAAGGATAAGTAAGCTAACCCCAAGCTAAGGATAAGTAAGCTAACCCCAATCTAAGGGTAAGTAAGCTAACCCCAAGCTAAGGATTTGTGCTGTTTCAATATACAAAAAAAAATGAAAAAAATAGAAAAACAAACAAATAAATCTCTCTCGACATAAATCACTCAATTTTGGTGCAAATGCCCAATTTCACAGAAATTTTACAGAAAAAGTTAACACACGGGTAGACATGTTTCCATTATTTTACATATTATCTCATATTGATAAAGACAACATAAATTCTTAGCTTGGGGTATTTGAGGAGACACAAAGGTGTCTCTCATCACGTGACGCACGGTTAATTTTCAAAATGGTGCGCGAAACATTATTAACATAATAAGTAATGAGTACTTTTTTGAAAAGTAGTCGTCAATGCTTCATGGCTCAATATAGTGAGTCGTTTAATGTGACAAATTCCTGAGAATCAAAAAAATTGTTCAATGTGGTAAATACTTTCTAGTCTAGACAAACATGCATCGGAAATATTTATACTCAGTCTAGTCAAAAAATGTCATCACTGGTTACAAGATGTAAAGGCTATTTTAAAACAACAGGAAATATGCGTTCGTTCAAGTGACTGATTCAAATGGTATTAGGGGCTGGGCGATGACCGTGATTTAGGGTTAGACCATTGAGAAAACCCGGGATGTGGAGGGTGGGGGAGGTGGAATTCACACTACTATTAAAAGGAAAAAAAAGAAAGAAAAGAAAGACCTAAGAAAATGCAAGAGATCGGTTGCAGAAGATATATTGCAAGGGTTTGTTGTACATCAGGCTGCCTGACGTTTAGACACGATTATAAAAAGATAAGTCTTTTTAAGCTTACTCTTAAAACATGAATCACTTTTTCTAATTTCTAATGGAATACTATTCCACAACCTCAGAGCACAGACAGAAAAAGCTCTAAAGCCTGACTGTATGATGGTTCAACTAAGATTAGCTTAGGGGGGGGGGGGGGGGGGGGGGGGGGGGGGGGGGGTCATCAGGGGCTGACTGGGGTTAACCGATTAGCGACAAATGGGCAAACTAACACCTGACTAGCGACGAACAAAATTTGCTGACTGGCGACAATAACATATTTACTGACTGGCAAAATTTTCCTAAAAGAAATATTTTTAGGCAATATATATTCTAAGATATTAGACATAGATATTCAAGCAACTACATTCGAGGTATTCCGCGGAAAAATAGATTTTGCTTCGGATTGGCTTCTTGAAGTTTTGATTAGCTACTCTAAAACTTTTAGTGTCATCCAATTGACCAATCAAGACTCAAGGATATAATTGTCGTCATTTTAGAAAGCATTCTGCATTCAAACTTTAACTTTATTTAACTGACCACCGGGGGGACAGGGAGCCCGCCACTAAGAAAGGCTGCGAGGAGACTAACTACCGACAAATGCCTAGAATTTTAACTGACTACCGACATTTAGGCTCCCCTTTCATCGCACCTTTTAGTGCCCCTTTCAGACCCTGCTAAAAGAGAGTTATTTTTTGTTTTGTTTTGTTTTTCTTAGCCCGTGAAGAAAAGTGTCTATTAGTTCAAGTACAATGATGTGCGGTGATGCAATAAAAAGACAAACACGTACAACATTAAAAAATTATTACTTAAGCGTAGTACGCTATAAGCGAATTTCACGTGTTGGCAAAACCACTCAGTATCATATTTTGTTGAAATGGAAGATGCTAAAAAAGTTCTTTTGTATTACTAATAATTTTTGTAGCATGTTTACTAGACTTTCTTGTAACTTTGCTACTTGACTTAGAATACTAGAATAGTAATTTTCTTATAAATCTCTGTTTTCGTGTTCATTATACCTAATAATTTATGCACCGAAAGAACATTGCTATAGCAACCCGGACTTCAATCACATCAGTATTCACACAACACCATATTTAACTATGACATAAGATAAGCTCCACCGTTATTTCATTTCATTCGACATAATTTATTTTATATTTAACGCCTTCATCGGATCTCACTGAAAGTAGCCCCAGAGCTTCGTTCAGCATAATGTTTTGAATTACTTTTCTGTGTGATAATATACAGTAACCGGCGAATCGGAGAGTCAATTTGCATAAAAATATACATGAATATTGTTGATAACCACTGTCGTCCTGGCAATGTTTCCGGCACTTTATGTTTAAACGTTGTCTCTTCATTCACAACGGAAATAATCTTTTGACAGTTTGTACTCGTAGTTCTGGGCTTTAAAGTGAATTTCTATAAACAAATGGACTATTAATGTGATTTTGCGCATCAAGTCTCTCGTGTCATGAGCGTTGTTTATGCAAGGGTGCATACATTACTCAGGACATAACTGAAAACAGCAGGAGTCAGCATTGGAACATGAAAAAAAATTAAAAAGTTTCGATACGCTTCGAGTGGAGAGGCCTGAGCAGAATAACAACAAATTAGAATCCCTCAGACAAAGACTGTTCAAGATCTTAAAATAGATATATGATTCGGCTGTTTTCCAATTCATTCCGAAATCATTGCAACCTTAGATTGAAAACATCTTAGTGATTTTTATTGAATTGTTTAACGAAAACTACCTCAGCATTACAGCATGCTTGCAATCGGTTCGTAAACTTGAATTGAAGGTGCTATATGGTGTCTACAGTGAATAGGACTCTGTAACATGCAAAAGTGGATATAATAGAATACACTGTATGTAATTGTAGGACTATTTCAGACAGCAGGAGAACATCAACAAGATCAACAGAAAACTCTCGATACGCTCCGTGGGGAAAAACGTGAGCAGAATTTTAATTCTTACGTTGAATATTCAATATAAATTAAATATATAAATATATTTGATAAAAAAATCTTAAAGCCTGTATACTTGATTCATTATTTCAAGTTCTATGGATTATATAAATTTATTTTTCATTCATTAATCCATTCCGATATCACATTTGTATTGAAAACATTTTTGATGAATGCCATTTAATTGATGAAAGAATAACCGCTTCACTATTGCAATATGTTGCAATAGCTATAAGGAATTTCTTGTAATTAACCGACTACATGCTGGCTTTACAGTGAATAGCGGGCCTACAGAGAATATTTTATATCAATTTTCATAGTGATGTCCGATGAAAATGACATACTCAAATATTAAATATGCTCTTTCGAAACAAACCATTATCAGAATAACTACAATCATATCTAAATACCACTGAATTTATTGATTTGATTAATTGTTTCATCCATTTATTCATGTGTTTTCTTTTATTTCTTTACTAATTTATTCATTGACTCTTGACTTTTGTTATAGAATTTTGCAGAGAAAACCCTTGCAAATAGTATCCGTCGAAGTTCTTTAAGGACTTTTTTCTGCTAGTTAGTGGCGACGTTGTAGCCGATCAATCATCTTCATTTGGCGTATTTGTTGTAACAAAATTTTCACCAAAAGAAAAGTTATATGACTTGTATAGACTATATCTGAAATTTTCCCCCTAATTTAAGTCGGAGAAAAGCCCTTAATCCGACTTAGCAAGAGAAAATCAATTTGCTGTAAAACTTTTTATAACGCTACCGAAAACGTCCGTTTCTTTTTTTATTATTATAACTGAAAGCTAGTACTGAGACAGTCAGAATATGAACGGTTTAAAGCGTGGGTGACGGCTCTCTATGACTGCTAAGTATACAGGAACATTCTAATTAACGAGTGCTCAGTAGAAACACGGGCGACACGCAAATGATTAATGTTAGAAACCGCTATATTTACAAGAGGAAGAAAAATATATTCTGAACACCGTCATTTTTTGTCAAATAATAAAATTAGCAATGTAAAATAATCGATATTTATTATTAAAATGTTCTAATAACGTTGATCATTTTGATGTATTTATCGTGTTTGTTTGCCTGGAATGTAAATGGATGGACTTCCTGACAAATACCTTCCCCACGTACCAAGTTTGGGTCCTTGGAAAGTCACGCTCCCGCCTGGCGATATTTCAACGTATTTGTGAATAGTCACGCGAAGCTATCACGTACTCAAAGGATAGCGTGTTATATTATCCTGCCATCGCGTGATCGCGTGACATACAATGCAATGTTTCTTATCCCCAGTCCCTCTCCTCATATCCGATGGTATATACCGCTGACCAGGCAGCTCGGCCAGGAATGTGTATGGCCAAAGCCAACAGTATTGACCTTTCAATGAGACAAAGTTCCCTTAGAATTTAGCTCCAAAACATACCCCTAACATGATCTGGTCAACCAGAAGCGTCTGAAAACAATGGGAGAAAGTGTTGAGAACAAAAAGGGGTAAGTACAGTGTTGTTTTGATGTTTTTTCTCGATCGCATGCTACCAGAAATCGAGCGTGAGTAAATAGTGTTTGACAACAAAGCAGAGAGGCAAACCTCACGCGAACCAAAATGAATCCTAAAAAGTGCCACTGTCTAACAAGACTACTTTTGATTCTCAAGACAGAACTTAGAGACGATAATATCAAAGCTATCGAAGGAACAGCCGACCAGGAAACGCAGTAGCTACCTTTTGGTAAGTCTGAACGTACTACTGAGGCGTGTATGATGATGCCTGGTTTGATAATGGTAATTCAAATAGGCCATAATCACTGGTACAAGAATCTCTAAAATCACTTTTTATACCATTTGAAACACATTTCACACTGTGTCTGGAATGGCTATCGGAGAGGTCATAATATATCGGCGTAATGGTCTATTTTGATGGCCTTACGGTTCGTGCTCGCAGGATGCAATATGCACAAACTCGTGCACGATGAACTTTGGGTAGATGACCGCCCCGCACATACTCCCCAAACCAAATCCCTTAAACAGTCCAAGAAATCCACATAAAAAATGGTTTCCCTTCGTCATTCGCACACGTCAGTTGTTTATTAAGACTTGGTTTGGATTTAAATAATACAATTCCTTGTGTGTAGTGGTTAGACCGAGAATAAATTAACCGTATATCTTTGCGAATGTACAAATTGATGCACTTTCGGGGAAAATGCTATAAACAGGAATCGTTTTCGTACATGGAAATTTAATACAAAGCTTTTTAATATACTGATATTCAAAAATTGTCCTTGAATGTACTAGTTATAAACGGCGCAAGTGTTTAGTTCGAGCGCATGGAACCGAAGTCACCCATTAGAACGTGAGGCGTCAATGCATTAGAATATGCCAGACTGAAAATCACGCAACCTTTCTACAACTAGACAGACTTTTTGCATTCAAAGAGAAGTGCGCCTTATTTTGGCTATATTTGTGCAACATACGAAATATTTTATTATATTTTCTCTTAATGTGTTCGCTTACGTGGTCAAATGCGGCTAAGTTCGGCTATGAATTCATTATAATGGGTTATATATGTAGGGCCGTAACCCTGAACACTACGGAGAGTCTTGTAAGTTCACTGACCCCAGGTTTGTTTAGGCTTGTTATTTACGCGAAGCTGCGTTGTGGTGCGTTTAAGTCGTGGTCTCTTTTTGAACATTTTCAGCATTCTTCCAATGTTTTAATTTGAGATCTTAACAACACTCACTGATTGCCCAAGGGTTATATTGTAGACCTAGATATGCTAAAATTGAACTAAAAATATTCTCGGGAAAAAATGCTGTTTTTTTTGTCTTGGTAGACATATGAAGATATATTCTCTTCAATTTGTGTTTTTTGAAAGGAAGGAATTAAGATAAAAAGAAAAGTTTTCCCATGATTTCTAGGTAATAAACAATGACCTTGATATCCTACTGTGAAACATGGTTGTAGTTGGGTGCCTCTAACACACATTACATAAATTACCAGACAACTTTAGGCTCAACAAGTACATCTTCCATAACACTGTCATCGTGTTGACTGTGGTGAATTTCAGTTTCAATAGTTTGATTTACAGCTTCATGTATGATGAAAATAGACCATTCTGTAGCAATTGGTTTTCATAATTCAATTCATAAGTTTCTGATGCTGTTGGCTTGGTTGTTTGATGAGTAATGAGTTCAAACAATGGGAGGTAGATATAGTATTTCACAGAACATATTTACATGTAAAACTACAGGTGATACCTTGAAAATATATATTATTTGACTATAGTGTTTGCAACACTAGGAGGTATCAGTCCAAACGCCTCATACAATTTGTGTATTTGGAACCGAAGCTTTTATTCTTCATAAGTTTATTTAAAAACAAAACATGGATTGTTGCCCAATTTGTATTAATCATTAGTTTGTCACCTTATGGTGTGAATTTGGTATCAAAATGTTATTTTAACCAGGGGATAAATTAAAAGCAATCAGTAATAACCAGTTTAATAGAAGAAAAATTCTCTAAAAACAATTCTAATTCTAAGTACATTATAAACATTCAGGGATTTTTTGCTTCTGTTTTTATAGTGGTATGTCAGCTGTTTATTTTTCACATTTGTACAATTCTTATCACAATTTAACATGTGCTTTACCAGTTGACCAGTAAAAATACCTTGTCTTAATCTCATTTAATTTATCTCAACAAGATTTTCCCAGTATAAAACTGTGTGTAGAAATGATATGCTGCAAATTTGCATGACTATTTTTGTTATACCCTTTATTCTATATTTTTAACAATATAATCATTATCCAGCAGCATCCTCATAGAACTGCTGAGGACAAATCACAAAATGATTTTCCTTGGCTAAATGAAAATGATTTGTAACAGTCTTGAAAGCAACTTAACAAGATACAGAATAGGTACATCATAAGAAGTAATCATGCATTTGCAGCAGAGAGAATCCAGAAAATTCATACAATAGCATTTCACTTTATTCAATTGAATTATCAAAATGGAAAATAATAACAAATTAAAATCAGTATCCACACAACCAATCAAATTTCCAGTGCAGTTCTTTATTATAGAGATCATAACTTAAATAAAATTTGAGATTTATCATTTAACATCCTTGGTAAATATGCAGTTTCATCTGGTTCGGGGCTATCATAGAGTTTTCATTGGAAATGCTAAATATAAAAAAAATATTCTTTAAAAGAATGACAAAACAACAACATTATTTGATATAGAGACAGTACATTCTATCACCAATGTAGTTCTCACTCATGTGCATCTAGTTACCACGCCACAACACGTTCTACATGCATGTTAATTTTTATTATATTGACTTTGCAATCACAGACTCGTGTAAAAAAAGCTTTTTTTATCACATACAAGAGAAAAACCAAGGCATTTTAGAAAAAAAAAAACATTTGTAGCAATTAAAATAAACAACAACTCTACACTTAGCCAACTTAACTTACATCTTTTACTTTATGTCAGGCTGCAAGATGGAATAAGAGAACTCTAACAAAAGAAATGAATACCATCGATGTAGAATAATTTGTTTCATTAAATGCAACAGAGCTGTACAAACACAAGTTTTATTAGCCTTTTTTGAGGAGCTTCTATGATTTCCACGGTCAACATTTTCAACTTTTCAAACTTAGTAGCAATAACAAAAAGAATATAAATTATTCATTCCAGGTTGAAAATGCTTTACACCAAGTCTACAATTTACTCGGTTTAGCAAGTGTTTAGCAAGATGAAATATTATATTTCATGATAATAATTTTGCAAATAAGTGTCAGGCCAAAAAAAAAACACACTATATAATTGACAGGTATAGTGACATGTCATGTCTCTCGCAGTTTCCCCATTAATTGTTAAATGCAGTTCTATATATCAAGTAATCAGTGATTTATCAACTCGATGTATGATATAATAAATTTATCAGGAAAGGCTTTCACAGCTTAAAGTGCTTTATAAATCACTTGTGTGCTGATAAATAATGTAACCCAACCTTGTCAGCTGTCATGTTATCAAAATCAAAATTACTAGAACACTGTGTCATAATCATACATGTATTATTCTGAAATCCAATGCTAAAAATACGTGAACAATTCATAGAGTGAAAAACAATTTAGCATCAAATGACAATACAGTATGAAAGCAATATTAAAACATAAAACTTGCAAAAAAAAAAAGAGAATTTAACATGGAGATTTAAGTTTACAAAATGTGTCTGTCAATAAATGGACTTTTTTTAAAATTAGAAATAATGAGCGTTCCAAGTAGAGTATATCTAGGTCACAACAATTTTAAAAGTTCTAGTTTATAATTTAGGACCTTATGAGTAATAACAAAGATTTTACTTCCAGTGAACTGAATATTCAAATAATAGACTGCGAATACAAAGCGTGAAAAGAAATACGGTAATGTAGCAGTGCATATTTGCCATATTAAAAAAAAAAATTAAAAAAAGGCCTTTGAACAATATTGTACAATTTTGGTGCTGTTTATTTATTACTACACAGTAATTGGAAAAAATGTCCATAGTTTTAGTGTTGTCATGAACAAATCACAAGGAAAATTGCCATTTCTAATTGCTATTTTGAACAATTCAGTCAGCCTTTAGGATGTGCTTTTACTAGGTGCTTATTTCTATGGCGTTTACTACATTGATATCTTCATGATTAAGGCTGCAGTACTCTATTTGTTACATTTATTGACAATTCTCCTTAAAAGTCAAGTACTTAATGAAGAAAGGTCATACAGACAACAGAAAACTATAAGACAATATCATCAATACAATTCCCAGACATTTTTGCTGACGTCAATTGTTTGAATTCACTTTAGATGCTGAGACGACTTTTGATTGCTAAAATTTAAAACACTTGAGGCCTTTTAAATATGTCTAAGCCTACATGTCAACTGAATCAAGAATAATATGTATTACCATGAGATTTGGTTTTGTTTGGGTCTCAGCATCTCTCCAAGAATCTCTTAAACACATACAGTATTTACATTCACTTGATAATAGGTATCGATCTCAAGTGTATTAAAAACTAGGAGTAGACAAAATAAAAGAATTTTGTCAGATGGAAGTACCTGTAATAGTTTATTGAGCTGGCATATGCGTATCTTTTCGATGTTTTTACAAGTTATGACATGCTCTTCTAAATAATCTTCCTCAGTTGAGGCAAGTATAAAAGGAAATCTCATTCTTAGTAAAACTTTAGGTATATGCTAGTCTTAAGGTGTCTATAATATCGCTGTACGTACATTGCATGTCAACCAGTTTATATTATTTTTTTTTTCTTATTGTTTGGAAATTTGATTGGAAAAGATTTGGATTGGTCCCATGGCCAGGTCCCTCCATTTTTTTCTTTAATTTTTTTTTTTTTTTTTTTTTCTGAGACAACACAACAAACTGGTAAGCAAAGAGTGAAACTGCGGCTTACAGAATCAGTTTAAGGAGGCAGGAGTGGGATTAATTTGTAAACATACTGTACCCTCACACTCAGTAGTTATTGTCAACACTTTTAACATACCAACACAAAATTAAAAAGTGTTGAGTTTGTTGTTTTCTTTGTTTGTGTATTTCTGTTTTTTTTTTTTTTTTCATAATTCATGTCAACTTACATTGAAATAATAACTACTACCTTTGTCTTTGCAGATTTCTGGTATTGACTATTCAGGTCTAATGTTCCATGTAGGGTCAGGTAAGCAACTGTGATTCCATTAAATAGCCTAGTAGGGATGAACATACCCTGAAGGACAACTCCCATACAATAGTGAAAGGGATTGCAGACCTTCATTACCATGTACCTTTCAGGGTTAGTTTACAAACACAAACAAATTGGAGGAGTAAACATTATAAAAAAATGATATTTACTACTAATTTTAGGGTCGGTACTCATACTAGCACCCCCCCCCCCCCTTTCCCTAAGAGACATAAGCCCGTCGCTGCCGTCGCGGAGACCACTTCGATTACATGTAGCTATATATATTGATGAGAAGTAAATCCAAGTAGCATCAAGGATATTCGCTTCGTATTAAGAAAATGGTTTTGTGACGTCTTAGTTCCATTTCTTAGAGCCGTGTAGATTTAGAACGCTATTTTTGTCTTCCATTTTATATTTCAGTACAACGCGGGCGCATAAGATTCGAGACTCCAACGTCTAAAATCACACTRAATCAATGCCACTCTCTTGATCCTTTTTACCGGAATTTCCTATTCCTAAACCGTGTAGAGAACTGCGTTTTAGATGAACTCAATCAAACGAAACGACTTTGAAATTCTTTGTCGTTTCTTTTCAACAATAAAACAAGATACTCTTGTTTTCACAGGCCACGAATCAGACGAGAATGACGAGCCTGATTTATTCCAATGCGGCAAATGCCGTGCAATGTTCACTAACCTTCAGAAATACCTAAAGCACAAGCAGTCCAGAGAATGTAGACAAAAGAATAATTCTACTCCTTCTACAGTAACCAGCCCGGGTTTTAGTGAGCCTGGGGTAAGTGTCCTGTCATTGATTGTTAATTTATTTTTTGTATTACTAGGGTAGGGTAAGGTAGATTACCTAACTGTAAAGCCTTGTTTCCAGTAGGGTGGGGTGGAGTAATTTACTAGGCTGGGGGTACGTGTAATGCGAGAAATAAAGTAAATCGAAAGGAAGAAGTGGGGATTAACTTTTTGTCTATCGAGCTTCTATCTTCTTACCCTGTCTGGAGCCATCATGTAATCCAGAAGCTTTTAAATTTGTAAATTCTTCTTTAAAATAGACAATGAGTGGCTAAAATCATCACTTGGGAGGGGTAGGGCTAGCTATTTCAACTGAGGTGCACTCTTGTCGTTGAACTATCAAAATTTCGGCAATACTATACTTGGAAAAATTTCATTCACGCTATGTTGAATAGAAAACTTTGTGCTTTGTTTTGTGATGTTTTGGTTTGGATTGGTTTTGTTTGGTTTTGTTTGGTTTTTGTTTTGTTCTTTTTTGTTTTGTTTTGTCTTCGGGTTTTTATTCTTTTTTCAATTTTAACATTTTTTTTTCATCTGAGACTTCAACCTAACTTGACCTAACAGTAGACTTTCTAAAAATCATCAGGCTAACAGTTGAGACATGTGGTCTGTTATTAACGTACATGATATGGTTCTTGAGTGTATAGCTATCAATTTCCATTTAAGTCTTAGAATTTACAATCATATATCATAAATGAAGGGGGAGCAATCGACCCTCCTTACTTCATTTTGTAATAGAAAATCTCGAATGAAAGTCGTCTTTACCGTACTTAGCGTTTCAATATAATCGGATTTCGAAAATATTTTGCTATAAGTGGGAAACTGGTAAAATTGAAATTCGCTCAACCATATCTCGGCAACTACGTTCCTTTATGGCCTAAAATTTCAAAAAAATTATCATTGAAGTCATAGAGGCCCATTCGAAAATAATATGAATATCAAAGATCAAATAAAACTCAATCGATTGGAGTTCCTTGTCGTGAATCATGGTTTTACTAAGAGCGGAAGCATCAAAGCGGTTCAATTGAATTGGCTGGTTAATGAGTTGGTATATCTAATGGTGTTACTGGTAAGTGCCAGGCTATACCATTATATTCAAATTCCCAATTAACTCTAATAAATCGTATAAAACTTTAACAAAGAACAAAACCTGTGTATTGTTTTGTGAACAAAGGACCAAGAAGTCTACATCGCTTCCACGGAAAACAATTCGTCTCGTTTTTTTCAGTAATGCAAATTTCAGATATTTCTAACTAACTGAAAAAAAATCTACCTGGCCAAATCATCGAACGCCTGTTCTTCGCTTGTTTGTGATAAGTTTAGTACGTGTCGAGCGGAGCGCACGTGTGTTGGATTCTCTTCTGACGAACCTCGCCCCAGGCCGATACTTATGCCACTGACACGAAAGTTTCGGTATCACTGGTTTGGTTATTGACCAGAACACATCATATCGCCACTATTAATTTGAAATGACTTGAGAACTTAACCAAGATTTTCCAGGCACATAAATAGAGCTTCTATATATTCCTGGACTGGCTGTTTTGGTAGTTTGGCGATTGCGTGGTTTAGTGTTTATTTTGTTTAGGCCACACGCACAACACGTAGTTTAAGAACATCATTTGCATGTGTGTGTGTATATATAAAGCTTGAGTCAGCGTGCCTTCGACAGCCATTCAATCAAACAGATGAAAAGAGAACAGAATCAAGATTTCCATGAGCTGGATTCAAATATGCTTCAAATATGCACTTGTTCGGCAAGCGAAATTCTAAAAACCGAAAACTACTTTTTACCACATTGGGGAGTTACATCATTTCCTGTAAGGTTTTTTTTGGGTTTATGGTATTGCCTGGCTTGTTTACCATATTTGTTCCTGAAAACCGGTTTTTCTAAATCTTTTATTGTATAGCGAAGCTCATTTCTCAGCTAGGTGGCCACTTTTTAGTTTTCTCACCTTCGTAATCCGCATCATTATCATCATATTTTAAAAACATTGCTTTTCAATAATTTTTTGTCCTTTGAAACATTTTATAGCCAATGTGGACCCAGGGTTATCCAAGGCTATTGTTTTTCACTTGGTATTTCTGCCTAAAAATCATTATTGAATAACATTGCAAATTCCAACAAAAACAATGTTTTTGCATTTTCTCTTTCAGACTTTAGAAGGATATGAAGATAATAATGCCATTTCTAGCCCACCAAAAAGGTATTTCTATTATTTTGTGTTTCTGTCTTGTCTTTATGCAGGTGGTCCACTTTACTTCACGTGTCATGTAAAACCCGATCGTGTTAAAAACCTTGTAATTGATGTTGGATCCCAAAATATTTTGCTGGAAAACTAAAATGTTTGACGTAAATAAATTACTTGCTTTTATAGTCTTTTAGAAACTTAGTTTCATAAAATGAAGTAAAGGATAAAAACAATGGAAACTGGTTGAAAAGGCTTTAATTACGCCGTGACGCCCTTTGTTCTCAAGCAATAGATTATCAAATATCAGCACGAACAAGCTTTTTGCATAATGCGATAAATTTTCAATAAAACAGCTGAATTTTTGGCATCACGTACATACGACTGAGTACTGGTAAATATTCTTGCTTATTCCACCAGCATTTTGTCCAAAAGTTGAAGAATGTCTTTTTGTGACAATATTGCTGGTACCTCGAGGAAGCATGTGAATCAAGTTGACAATTCCTTACTGGGGTTAATAAAGATGAGAAAATAACTGATTCAGATCTTTTTTTGTCGTTTAGAAGAGAAAAATATTGCTCAATGAGGTCGTGGTGTTTTGTCGTAGTTGTTGCCGGTCAGTTTTCTCTTTCAAATGTATTTCATCGTGGGCTTTAAAAGGACCCTTTTATCACCTTTTGAAATGAAAATTTAATGAAAGTTGTTTTTTGGAATTACAACTTTTCACATTTATCTGAGTTTAGAATCATTAACTCGCAAAACAATGTAAGACTAATAGCCTGAAAAAGTGTTATACATCGAAAAAACAACGTGCAAAACATGGAAAGTTCACGATAATAATTTCAGTGCAATGGTGCTCGCATGTTAACCTTTCTAGATGGTTTAGATTTTTGTAGAATTAATTAAAACAGAGAGAGAATTTTTCAATATCGTATTTTAATGGAAATTTATGATAAGTCATTTACATGGGAAATGAAGCAGGTCTTTGTTATTGTCTTTGATTTAGAAAACACGATCGCAAAGGTATTGCCAGACGGGTGTCTAATGTCGCTGAAACAGAAACCGTGTCCGATCCTCCCAGTCCTGAAGCCAATATTACCAGACCATTTGGAATAGGACATCCAATACCCATGGGACTAAACCCAACATGTACAGTAATTAATGGGATGCCAAGTCCTGTCTCACGATCTGGAATATCGGCCTTTCAGCCTCCAGTCCCCACACTTAAGAGTCCCACTGAAAGGGGTCCTATATACAGTCGACCAGATATGTCCCATCAAGGACCAGCATTGGTATCTCCTGGTTACCCAGTATCCTTTGCACATTCACAGCCAAGTCCAATGCAGCACGTAATCATAAATAACCCAATCCCCCACGTCATGACCGGGCATGGGTGGCCTCGGGCGACAATTGCAGTAGATCCTCACTTTAGTGGTAAGAAAGAACCCGTGTCCTCCCCTCACGGTCCACCACAAGTTCGGCCAGACGGAAAACCACCTTCTCACCCAGAGAGCCATGCGCACACGCGAGGCCAAGGGATGACTCTTGATAACACTGGTCAACCTATTGTAGTCCATTTAAAAGAAAGAGGTAAATATATTTAAAAAGCAACTATATACATTTAGGTCTATACTATAGTACTAGTGAACAATTAGTGATACTATTTTATTTTATTTTATGTTCATTTAGCACTATTTTGCTAGAAAGTGCTTAGATGAGTGATGAAGTGTAAATTGATAAGTGTGTGATTGTTATCTATATCGATAAGGCATAGATATTTAGTTGATTTACTAGAACTACGGGAGCTTATTACTAGGAGTGTCCATGATATATATATAGGGTTTTTATAAACAGTCTATTTTTAGATTTTTCACAGCCAATTGATCACTGGCGGTGTCACGCGCGTGCGAAAATCCACGGAAAATAAAGTGAAATACTAAAAAAAAACATGGCGGACGATAGTGAAAGCGATTTTTTAATAGTCTTTGTTAAATAAGTGATAAAAAGAGGCTACAGCTGAAGACATGACTGAAGAAAAATCCAAAAATAGAAACGTGTATGACAACGACGTGACACTCAGCCTGTACTAGATTCCTAATAACTGTTGATATATGTTTATTCAGGTCGACCCATTCGTCCCAAGGAAACAGGTCTGACAGAGGAGGAGCTAACGGAGGAAATCGTGACTTCTTCAGGACAAAAAATCTTCAAGTGTAAAAAATGCGAAAAAGAATTCAGCTTTTCAAGCCGATTAAAAAGGCACCTTCTGGTGCATACAGGAGCGCGTCCCTTTGAGTGCCCTATCTGTCTACGTCGATTCACACAGGCCGTGGATCTCAAGAGGCACATGTTGAGACATAGTGGACAAAAACCGCATGTTTGCCAGTACTGTGGAAAACAGTATACGCGTGGAGACAGACTCAAGGTAATACTCATAGCTGTAAGAACAGAAGAGAAAAGGAAAGGAGTGAATAGGAGGAAATTGGAAGAGAGGGTGGAAGGGAGAAAGAGAGAAAGAAAAAGAGAAAGAAAGAAAGTTTATTAAGCATTATTATTTTTCAGCTATTAGCAATCATGATGTATTATACAGTTTGATGTTAACACAGGCTATAATATTTCAATGTCCTGCAAATCAGTAGTAGAAAATGAGCGAGAACATGTTGGACAAGAAGCGCATCGGTTTGGAATAGGATGGGAAGTAAGGAGAGAAGACAAAGAGAGATAATTAAAAATTGGGAAAGAGTGATTGTGCATTTGCCGATGAAAGAGATCACTTCCTTGGACTATTCAGTGCACATTAGAATTAATGTATTACGTGAATCATTACTCTATTGATAAAGTTGATGTTCCATTACCTCGTACTAACAGTGAAGATGTTGCATGGAACAGTCTCCCAAGTGAAATAAGGCAGGCAGAGTCCGTAGGGCAGTTTAAGCGCCTGTTAAATGATCTATTCTAAGGCACAGCATTCATGGAAAGCATCTTTTTATTTTGATATTTACTTTGTTATATAAAAGTTATTTAATTGATTTTGTGTATAGCTGATGATTTTTTACCGTGGGTAAATATAGGATATCTTTTTTTTATTATTATTATTTTTTATTTTTTTAATCAATTGAACAATTATTTACAATTGCTGTAATAAGGATATCTATCTATCTATCTATCTATCTATCTATCTATCTATCTATCTATCTATCTATCTATCTATCTATCTATCTATCTATCTATCTATCTATCTATCTATCTATCTATCTATCTATCTATCTATCTATCTATCTAATTAGCAACAAAAGGGGCGAATTTTCAATCACTTGTATTTCCCTTTTTTAGGTTCATCTTTTGAGTCATACTGAGGCGTCAAACCATTCAATCGTGCCTCGACCCTACAGCTGCTCTCGCTGTAATTCAACCTTCGAGGAAGCAGAACATCTTCACCTTCACTCATGTGTAAAAGCAGACAACAACGACGTGGACAACGACGACAAGACACATCCCAATGATGACGAGGATGGAGTAAGCACCGCATCGTATAATCACGAAGACTCCCTCTCAGGCTCTGAAGACAGAAGCACCAAGATGAAAATTTACCGCTGCGAGATTTGCCACTCGTCATTTTCCAAAGCTACCTCGTTGAAAGCGCACTTGATGAAGCACACAGGAGAGCGAAAATATCGCTGCGAGACTTGCAACAAGACTTTCTTTAGCTCGAGCAGCTTGAAGATCCATGTTCGTGTACACACAGGTGATCGTCCCTTTAAGTGTAAAGAATGCCCAAGAAAGTTTAGTGACCCATCTAACTTCAATAAGCACAAGAGATGGCATGCAAAGCAGAAGAGCCACAGCTTCGGAGAGTTCTCGGCTCATGGTGTAAACCTATCCGAAGGCACGAAGTCAACCACCGAGGAAGCCGAAGAACCTTCGGCTGCAAAGAGGCGACGAACGAGTGAGAATGATTCAATCGATGCCGCTTCGGAAAAAGATGCCCATGACTCAGGTGAAAGTTCTTATGAAGCTGAAGGAGGGCAAACGCCTGAGGGTAGTGATACATTGTTTATGGAAGACGACGATGAGGATATCTCTGTTGATGACGATGAACCTCCGACGGGTTTTCGATCACCCAAAGCTTTAGTTGGAATGGAAAGTGAGAATGATGATAATCAACAACCACTGGTGATCACTGAGGAACCACAAGAAGAAGACGCTGCAGTTAAAGAAGAGAAACCAGAAGAAGAAAAAGAAGAAGAAAAGTAAGCTAAATTATATCAACTGTGAGGTTCCATCTAAGCCAGGTTAGTTCGAGCCTCTACAAGGATGTAGTCTTTTAACGGTTGCTGGCCATATCTGCTACTAAGTACGCGCAACTTACTTTTAACTACTTTCCAATTATTTTCGTTGAAATGAAAATCAATTATCTATTATATGCTATAGGATGACTAAATTGCCATTGTTTCAMTGCTTTAGTTTCCCATGATCCTATCCGGGCTGGTTGCCTAGTTGCGCAGAGCGTCAGCGACACTTAATGTCAAGAGACTACATACCTGTGTACTATACAAGCGAGAGAATAAATCTAAAATTTATAATTGAGCAATTATAGTACACGATACAATAAGATATTAGTAAAAAATTAATCACCTAACACTGAGTCAACTAAAGATGGGTTCCCTGTGTACTATCGGCTGCAAAACCTGGTACTGAGTCAGTGATCCCTTTGAATGTATATATATAATCAATATAATGTAATCACTATATAACCGTTTTGTATKTTACTCTTTACTATGAGTAAAGTTAGAAATTAAAATAGACTCGATGCGAGCAAAAATATAGAGTAGGTTTAAAATAAGCATTTATAGATTTATAATAATAAGCACTATTAATTGAGGGATTTTTTAACACTTATAGCCCCACATTTCTTATTGTTTAAATTAATATTTTAATTTAGTACATAAGTTCATTGTTTTATCACTGTTGATGTCGGAGATGTTTCGTGTTTTAGTCGACTCGCCTTCGAGACTGATAGTATTGTTTTAACAACCAATTGCAAGGTTTTTGAGATCAGGCGCCATCTTGGCTCCCGTGACGTCATCAATTTAGGATTGTTACGTCATTTAGATTCATGACGTCACTGAACCAGAAATATGGCGTCTAAGAGATTCTAACTTTTAAAGTTCTAACCAGAAAAACACTGAGATAAGAAAAAGGTTTCAAAAACTTGAATTATTGAATACAAACGACAACAACCACAATCCGCATTGAAATTTCCTTGCATTTTGGTTGTGGACTATTGTGGATTGCATTGTTTTTAGTTTATAACAAAACCTTTTAGTGATATGTTATAACCATATATTAATCACATTTAGCAGTTATATATACTCATTTTGCATGCTCAACAATGATAATCATTCATATTAGAAGGTAATTTAGACAAATTTGGGTTATTTGTCGAGAGTAATTGAGAAACATATTTACTACCCATAATTCATTTCGGATATATGTGTCTTCCATTTTTAACTTCACAAAATTCATTGCGGGATTTGGAACTGACTTTAAAAATACACTTACTCAGGACTCTTTATCTGAATCTAACAAAGGTGAAGATAAGATATTAATCGGTCAGGAGCTAGCATTTATAGAAATAGAATTGTTCTCATCACTTAAACGTGAAATAATTACTGTTTTAAACAGTGGTAAACTGTTATACTGTCCTTTGCTTTTGAGTTCTTAACTATTAAGTAGTAGATAGCAGTGTTTGGTTCGCGTGTTGATGAGAATGACTGTAGCCTATTAGAGTATTTTGTTCGTGGTTTTACAGAACTACTTGAAAAATAATTATAGTGGTGATTATATTATTTTATTTTATACTACTTTCTACTGAACTAACAAGATCTCTTACTATATATATATATACTTTAAATATTTTCGTACAACTTTTACGCATACATAAAATATAGTATACCTCAGCAATGTATAATAGCCATGACGTTGTCATGGATACAAATTATTCAAAATGTCGGAATGTCTACGGGATCTTTCTATTTACTGCATACATCAGGTCTGTTTTTGATACTCAAAACTACTATTTTATACTGTTTATTCTCTGATTTGAGTATATATATTGATATTTATTTCTTGAAAAATTATTGGCAATAGAAAAATGCATTTGACTTCGTAAACTGGTAAGCTGTCTATTTGAATAAATCGTGTTCTGCCTTTCGTCGCTCAAAAATTCCGAAAGAGTGGTATAATCTGGCTTGAACTTCTGAAAACAAACTGCATTTAGTCTTATTATATTTTTGTCAAGTAGTCTGTTACAACTGTAGAGATTTAGTTAATTTCCAGTAAAAAAAACTGTCTAAATAAATCTGGATACTTATGAAATGACAACTAGATTTCCTTTCATTATCTGTACATTGTAGTTACCAGGTAACCGATTAGTCATGTTAAATTACTGTTGCCGTGCATTACCGCTGAACATTAATACCGTCTGGTGCTCGTTCGAAGAAGACTTTTGATAGTTCTACATTTGATAATCTGCATTTCTCTATATGCGTAAACAATATATTTCTTTCTATATTGAATTGTTATCTTGGTTGATAGAATTGACCATTTTTCCACGCTTGTAAAGGAGCTTGCAAACTGAAAGTCATAGCTTGAAAGTTGAGTTTCTCCAGCCAGTAAACAGCTCTTTGTCTTATTTGAACGGACAAAAACGCCAAATGAATTACGTACGAACGATATTAAAAGGCAATTTTGTGTAAAGTGCAAAGTATGATGGGAAATGTATTACGACTAACCACCAAAATGTTTTCTAAAAGGTCTTTTGGTAAGTTTGTGTTTCCTATAACGGCTTAAAAGCTTAATAACAATCTGTTTAGGCATTGCATTACAGTTCAGTCAATGCATTGCCCAATATGCTTTGTTTAAAAAAATGTTGTCGCTTCATTGGCCTATTGTTTAATGCAAAGAAAGGTGGTTTCTACGTACCATTGCTAGGCAACCGCTCTCAAAACACAAGAGAGATGCAGTTTATCAAAGTAGTACATTTATATGAAATAGCTTTCTAATCTGGAGATACATATTCTATACGTATTATACAAATTACAATATTGGAATTTGTCATATTATATTTAAACGGGGAACGCCCCCTACAATTGATTAGGCTTTCCTTGCTTACAACATTTATTTAAAATTAAATTTCTGTATTGGCTTGGCGTATATCATATTCCTGCATAAGTCAGCGGCAAATCATGTTTAGAGCTTGCACGTGCACATACATTGTAGAAGCGGACTCCTGGGACTCTAACAGACCGCTGACACAAGCTGGACAAACTCTGGGCTCGAGATATGGTAAGCCGCTGTACATAATGCAGTTAGAATCAGCGGTAAATCCACAGTAATTGGCGGAGCTTAAACTAATTTACGCATGCGCAATATAGCAAACCGCTGTACATAAGCTTCTGCTTCTAATGTCCAATGTCCTTTTTATAATTAAGCTAGCTCTTAATACCCAGGCCATCCTGCGTCCAATTTGGTTGGATATAGTCTGGGTACTTAAAGCCAAAACAATCGATGATAATAGATGACAATTCATTTTATTATTGATATACATACATAGTATATTGGTTAATATCTAACTTGAGGGGGAGGGGGAGAGTCGAGGAATTTGTATTCTCTGGCTCAAGCCTTCATCGTCTAAGTTAGTATAATTGTATTCAAGATGAAATTAGTCCAGCGCCTGTTTTCAATCAGCTTTAGCACCTTTATCCTTATTTAGAGGGCCATGGTCCACCAGCATCCCTTTTGAGCTTTTCTTTATGTTGATAATCGTAATATAATTAAAACGTACTCTTTATTATCACTTTATACTATATAAATGGAGATACTGTAAAATTCGACCTTTAAAACAAAGGATGGAAACGGATTGCGAATGGATATCTGAAGTCACATCATTTTCCATATATTAAAAATCTAAAACACGACTGCTTTGAAAGCTGGGGGACCATGGACCTTTAAGGTTTTATTGGGAAGATGATGTAATGATGATAAGACTGACGTTGATGATGATATTGATAAGCGGTCTTCACTATGTAGAGTGATTTTCCTTTGGCAGTGAAAAAAATTCAAGTCTATTACTATAGCTATTAGTTTTGCTCTACTTTGTTGGTTGACCAAAAGAAACCACTCTATTGTATTTCTGCTACTGTTTTAGTTACTGGCAATTGATTTATTAATAAACCTCTAACAACCGATACACCTACTTGCGAAAACGTTGTCATAAAAAAAATAGGGCATTTGTATTTTAGTAAAAAGGAATAAATTATAAAGACAAAAGAAGATCACTGAGGCTGAACGCTTTCTTTTGTTTTGTTTTAATTTATTCCTTTTTACTAAATTCGAATGTTCTATTTTCTATGACAACGTTTATGGAAGTAGGTGTAAATAAAACTGACTCATAACCGAGTTACAAGCGACTGATAGTCGACTTGTGACCGACTGATAACCGATAATGATAGCCGACTGATAGCCGACTATAATAACCGATTTTAACCGACTAATGACCGACTGTTAATCGATAATAACACCCTACTAATAACCGATAATGATCAGCGACTAAAAACCAATAATCATAACCGACTGATAACCGACTGTTAACCGACTAATAACCGACTGTAACCTATAATAACAACCGACTAATAACCGACTGGTGACCGACTGTAAATCGACTATAATAATAAAATTCAATACAATTTTTACTTTAATAATAACAATAATATTTATCAATATCCTTGACGCAGTTCCAGTAACAATAAATCGTCATTACGTCATTATATTCCATTATATTAGGAGCTAAGGTATATTCTAAACAGAACGTTGAGTCAATATATCACACATATAGTATTTAGTATTACATATATAGACAATATGTCGATTCTGTTGCAATCTTTATTATAGTGTGACACCTGATTTTTTTAGCCCAAGTGAAGGTGTAACAGAAGTACGTTTGGGCGTTACATTGTAACATTGTATACAAAACTATAGAAAAACCTAAATTGTTACCGAGGACAGACACAATTTTTACCCAAAACTTAGGTTAATATGGAGCCGGGACGTCTTTGCATCCGCAAAACGGATATAAAACTGTTGTATCTCGACTATAGAAGTATTTTAAACTTTTTAAAAGTTTCCACTTAAAAGACCGGTTTCGGAAGCGTCCGGATACGGCTGGCAACCCATGAAATAACCGACGGATGCAAAAGTGCCTGGCTTCATGTGGACATGGCTTATATCACGTCATAATGACTTTAGTTTCACCATATTTGAAAGAAAATTAAATGAATAGTAAAAAGATGTATTTTTCCTTGCATCAGTGGTATGTGGGGCGACGAGTGTTTGTAGCTACGTACGTACGGAAGCGAATACATTTTATTTGAAGAACCTAATTTGACGCAGTTTTAGGCCCGGTTCACACTTTCTCCTAAGCAAAGGAAGGGAATTTTCTAAATGTAAAGCAGTGAAAACATAAGCATAGGCGAAAACGTAAGAAAATGAAAACTTTCTTTGCGTTTCTGCCTATGTTTGCGATTCTGCTTCTACTGTAATTTGAACAATCCCTTACGTATAGTAGCTTTGACATAATTTACAACAAAGTTTATTCAACATAGAAATTGATGTAGAATTGGGTTTATCTGCGCCACCTAACTGTGAACAGTCTCGATTAACATTAGTGTATACTAACGCTATCTTAACGCCTACTAGTTGATAGCAGATTGTTGCATCAGGTTTACTTCATATAAAGGCGAAGGAGATGATTTGAGTCAATTGCATTAGACTGAGCTAAAGCTTGCTATAAAAAGCCAAAAATGTAATAAAAATACAATAGATATTGCGGATGTAGCACATATCGTCGTTTACATAGAGACCTCAAGCTAAAGATGATCGACACTGTTCACAATTAAATGCATTTCAGGTCAAAAATATGTAAAGATTGCAGCAAAAGCTTTTGAGCAATTTTTATACGGTTGAATTTACCAAAATATCCAGAAGTCTGTCCAATCTGGTTAAGAGTATATGGAATGGTATGTAATACCCTTGTTAAGCCAGTCAATAAAGTCAATATATCATATCACCTTGCTTGTACGCTTACTTTTCTGAATGAATTTCTTTATATTTTCCTTTTCTTGTTTTTAACTCGGAGATTGCGTTAGCAATCGTAGAGTTATTGGGAGGGGACAAGCTGTCACTCGCTCGATCGCTCGCTCGATCGCTCGCTCGCTCGATCACTTTCCTGTAAATTTGAGCCTGCGAAGCTTTTGTCAGCAGTTATTCATTTAATCATATTAATATATTCTATTTACTTGGTCTAAATGGTCTCCCTGTGCTTTTCGATTAATCATTGTATATATTAATATATTCACTAATTTGGTTACTATAGTAACTTCTATATTATGAAATTTATTTTGGACGGTCCGCCTGTGTTGTTTCAGCTACGAAATAAATTTCATGTTCCCACCAGGTTTCGAACCCGCGACCTCTGAATTGAACGCCAAGCGCCTTAACCGATTGTGCCACGGTGACACTTTGATGAAACTTGGCGTGTTTTAGTAGTTTTATAGGGAGCACCGCTGTTCGAGTCCAGCTTGAGACCGGACATTTTATTTCTTTTTTTCTTTTTGATGTTTTGGAGATTCTCTTTTCTTTTTCTCCTTTTTCTAATAATAACAAACATGTTTCTGCATAAAGTTTTGTTTTTAAGAAATTCTTTTAATTTTTGCGAACGGTAAAATAAGGTTCACCGNTTTCACGGCCTTATAAATAAACTTCAAGCAAATGGACGGTTTCTATTCCGCTTTAGACTTCAAGGTAAGATAATAATGTACAAAGCTTAGCAATGACATACTTAAATCTTAAGTTTATCATATGAATTACAAATCAAACTTTTTAGGCTGTGTCAACCTGCCCGTGAGTATTCATTGTTTTAATAGCTTAATAGTTTTAATAGCATAATTAGCTTACGTACCGATCGCTAAACCCAACCCAAACCTTTACCCTAAACCTAACCTAGAGCTAACCAAGGACTTTTGTTCAGTAATTCTGTATTTTTTTTTTTTATTTTTATTTTTGCAAACGGACATTTTGACTTCCACTATTTACACGACAGCCGGGCATGTAAGTTGAGACAGACACTTTGAACTTTATGTCACCTTTGTTAATTTACATGTAACTTAAGCTAAAGCTTTTCCTTTTATAAATTTCGATGTCTCTCTGAACTAATAAGCTTATATTTTTATCAATCAACCTAAATCCGCTTAACAGTGATTGGAAGAAAAGCACTGGAATAATTCTGCAAAACTGCAAATCAAGAGCATAAAGAATAATCAAAAGAACAATGTGGATTTCATACCTCAACAAAGGAGCTCAAAACAAAGTTATGATATACCAATTCACTTGTTCTTTCAATACATGAAGGCATTAGCTACTCAAATTTTTCACTAATTTTTCACTTATCTTGTTAGTTAATACTATTTTTTTAATCCAATTTAAATGTTGAATTGCATTTTCCCAATACTGTTCTGATCTTATTGTTCTGATTTTTTATGATCACCTACTGTATTTACATGTTTTTGTAAATAACTTATCTAATGTGTTAATAAAATGCTCAAAATACAGCTGACCATCTTGCAAAAGCAGCTCTTACAATCTCCGAGTTATGTTGCCATTGGCAGCTTGATTCTTTTTATTTGTTTGTTTATTTCATTTTTCAATGGTCACTCAACAACTTTGCCTTTGTACATAGCATGAAAGAATAGATTTAAGTAGGCATAACGCTCTCTTAAAGATAGCTTAAACCTTTTCTTTAAGCTCCTTTAAGCCAATTTTATACATTTTCGTTAAGTTTAACTTTAAGTTAGCTTTAAGCTACAACTTCAGCATAAAGAGACTCCAGATAAAAGCGACTTTACGCTGTACCTTAAAGTTGACCATATAGGATGTGATTCTTTCCAGTTTCACATGGTAAAATGCGTATGAACGCTAATCAAAATGCACATGGTTCTAAGTGGCCGAACATTAGACTGGGGTAGGAGATGGATGATTTTCAAAATATCTTTCCCGCATATATACAAACAAAATTATTTGCTTCCAGGCAAAATGTACACGAAATTTCCAAATATATAAGACGAAATTCTTTTCGGGAAACCATCCATGCAACCTGCATAATATGGCGATTCAGACGACACAAATTTTGCCTACAACCATCGCATGCGACTTGCATAGGTCATCATTACAACATGGCTACAGCTGTCATAGCGCAACTGTTTTTAACACCTACAACAGTTATATGTTGCAGGGATGACTTAAGGCCGAATTATAGACGACACAACTAATGCGATCTGCGTAAGTCATCCTTACAACATGTAAGGATGCTACAAATGTCGTGGGGCTACCAAGCAATTGTTTAAAATCCATACGACAGCTGTAGCCATGTTGTAAGGATGGCTGACGCAGGTTGCATGCGATGGTTGTGGACAAAAGTTGTGATGTCTAAATCGGGCTTTCAACAGGTTTCATGCGATGGTTACAGGCAATTATTGTTTTCGTTTGATTTTTTCAAATGCTGCAGTAGAAATGCGTCTGCAACTGCATTGTTTACGTGTCTTTCATTTGATAAATGTTGCACTAACAGTGCACGAGACTCCGCGTCTACAATTCCATTGTTACATTAGATTCTTTCGATGACGAATTTTGCACTAAATACGATGAGCGCACTTCTGCGTCGACAACTGCATTGTTTAGGTGTGATTCCTTCGACCAATGTTGCACTACAAGCGCGCAATCCTGCGTCTATAATTGCATAATATTGAAAAAAAGCACATTGAAAAGAGGAGTTAACTTTTAAAATTTGGGGAAAAATTTTACCATTTGTGCGAGTAATCACAATTGCGGCCAAATTGAAAGGAACTTCTCATCGAGAATGAACTTTTTTTAGACAATTTTTAGAGAATGGATGAGATTTTCAATCCTGTAAGATCCGTTACCTCAATGAGCATTGTTTTGTGAAGTTTCACCTATCTTTGACGAAAAATACCAGAGTTATGAAAATATATTCAGCATAGCGTACTTTTGCAGAAAAGCGCGTAAAAGCTCGAAAATCACTCATTTTTTTTTCGTCTTGTGTGGCACGGAGACCCCTATTCTTTTCATGCCATATAAACGGTCTATCATATAGCTTTTCAAGGTCAAGAACTGATGGATCTAATAATGAATTTTCAGAAGCATTTTGATGACATGATTGTAAGCCGCGTGGCTGCCAATTGCGCCTTAAACAGCGGTCCGTGTGAAATGATCTATACATGTGAAGCGCCTTTGAACTCAGAGGATATCGGCGCTATATAAATACCACATTTTATGACATAAACTGAATATTTGGATTCATCGCTGGATTTTAAAAGAGTAAGAATTCAACTTTTCGTATATTTTTTACCTTTATAGATAAATGCTGGAACGAAATCAAGTTTTAATTCTAGCTTGTCTCTGTAGATACTGTTAGAGACCTCCGTGGGCCTGATAGTTCTTTGTTGTTTATTGCTCGTACTTCTGCTTTTACATCTGCTTCAACTCCTACTTCTAATGTCGACTACAATTCCTCTCGGATTATATTTGCTACAATCAGACAGTGTTTGGGTTCTGCCGAGAGTGTAGAAACCCCTTGATCCTAATTTGTAGCCAAATCAGTCCTTTCAAGGTAATCTTATGGTAAGAGACTGTTCTAGAAATGGTTTAGTTTTGGCTGGTTTTAAAAAACCTTGTCAAAGGCGTGTTCCTGGCAGATTGAACCACATATAGCACTCAAAATATACARATACTCCATTTTCGAATTCAAAGCGAATAACCGCTGTTTTATTTGACAGCAGATTCTCTTACGCAAAGACCTTACCAAATACAAAAGAAAGCACGTGAAAATGTTATAAGTACAATAGCGCTAACAATTTACATTTTACCCGAGTTGAGGCTAACCCTAATACAGGGTTAGTCTCAAACCGGGGAAAATGCAATTTTTCAAGTCATTTTCTCGTGCTCTCTTTTGTGTTTGGTCAGCCCTTTGCGCAAGAGAATCTGTTGTCAAATAGAGCAGCGGTTTTTCGCTATGAATTCGAAACTGGAGTATTTGTCATCCACAATAGGATTATTTCTACTGACTTATCACGTGTTTACACTCTTTTTCATTTTCTTCAAGTCTATCTGAGTTGTGCTTTTAAAGTTTTTATATAGTTTGCCATACTTTGTTAATTGTATAGTATAAAAATTTTGGTGTTTGCTAGGCCGGGCATGTGTCGACACGTGAGCCTTCTACGTTTTTTAATCGCTTCCCGAACTTCAACACATGCCTTGCCTTGGCTTTCTTTAAGCTACTTAAAGGGACACTGTCAACGGATGACATGCGCAGTAACAGTCTCACCTCTAACGGACTTTGAAAGTATAACCTTCGAGGTAAATCATTTTGTGGTGCTTTTGACACACTTTGGAATATTCTAGATCTGTTTACGTTTACGATCTGATTTATGTCGCGCCAACTTGGAGTCATAAACTTGAAAACACTAGCCTAGTGTTTTCAAGTTTACTCGCGCATGTCATCCATTGACAGTGTCCCTTTAANTGTATAGATCATTTCACACGGACCGCTGTTTAAGGCGCAATTGGCAGCCACGCGGCTTACAATCATGAGGGGTTAGTAATTAGTATGGGTTAGTAGTAAGGCCTAGCCACACACACCGGGAATCATTCCCTACTCTTATGCGAACAGTGGTGTGGGTTCTTTAACGTCCCTCTAATACAGGTTAGTGAGTGAAGTGTAGAGAGACGGGACCTCCGATTTTACGTCGTTATCCGAGAGGACGAGAAGATCTTACCATTTGCAGATGGAGAAAGACAAAGGCAGCAACTTCTCCTCAATTATTTTATGACCCTGAGTGTTGGTCCGGCCGGGGTTTGAACCTGCGACCTCCCGCACTAAAGTCCGATGCTCTACCTACTGAGCTAACCGGTCGGCGGTTAGTTGATAGTTTAGTTGTTAGTTGATAGTTTAGTTGATATTCATCTAATTGTTCTCAATTGCATTGAGTGAAGTAG